TGAGCTAAAAAGAGAAGTATAAATAGAGGAGGTTATTTCTGTTGACTTCGTTTATCAATGGAGGTGCAGTATAAGCAGTGGGAAAGCACGATATTTGCAGTAAGGCGCTGAGCACGGGGCGGGGGAAGAGTACACGCTTACCGGCATACAGGATCAGTCTACCTTTCATGCATTTTGTTCGTTTCCAATAGTAACACCGCTCAAAACCCAACGAAGACTGTTCCAAACCTAATCTGTTGAAGTTTCATCTCAGTGGAGATTCAGCTTTTTGAGACAACAGTGAAACTGAAACTGTTTGTTGAGTAATCGTTGGAATACATTTAGCCAAGCGGAATCATTTCACGGGGTGTTAAGTGCCAGTAGGATCTTTAATCCAAGTAAACCTTTTGATAATACATGTAATTCGGTAGATGGATTTACAGATAAATGCAAAGGATAACAGGATCAACTGTGTAAACACCTTCAATCGCGGACTCCCTATTGTCCCTCTTTTGTTTATACTTTATATTTGGATGAAGATCCCCCGTAAGATTTGTACACACATATCAAACGTGGACCTTCGGTCAACCCTATAGTCCTCTATTGTTCAAGGTCCACAATTTCAATGTGTATATATTATGTACACACCCACACGCGTTTATATTACATACCCTATGTGGACATTCCTTTGTTTTCGCACAGTTAAGGAAAACCGGGGACAACAAATTTTTACTCACACTGTGAAAACTCTCTCAAACCATTTTTTTTTATCCTGATTTCCTTGGGTGTTCCTCTTTAATTTGCGACACATGACCCTAACCCAAAAATGTCTCTAAACCTGTTTTCCAGAGAGAGCAACTCCTTATGTGGACCTGGCTAAGTCTACATAACGCTCACACAACCTGCATTATGGGGACCTGTTTTGTTGTCAGGTCCACATAGAGATGGTAAGGTTGGCACTCCACCACCCCTCCGTCAAAAAAGGGACCAAAAACAAACTGTAAAACAGAATCCCCCGAGTTGTTTTTGAATCCGCTGGTGCTCGCTCTGACGACGTGTTGAACACAATAATAGGCCTATAGTGTGTGTTTTTCCCGTGATCCGAAAACAGCTCTTTCTGTAAATTACAATCGATTCGCCATGTGTTTGAAATATATAAATTGTGCAGCGTGGAAAGGCCTCCATCAAATTACATTCAATTCACTTATCCATGTTTCATAAATTATATCACAAGTCAAAATACAACAGGTGTTCTCTCTCTTTCAAACAATCTCTCAGGCATTGTAGGCCATATGGAAAAGTTAAATTTGTAAAGCTCATCCAAAGTCTTTTAATCCTGCAGTCACTCGCGTATATCAGTAGAGAGACAAAGGAAATCCCCCCTCCAGCCGATATTTGAGTGTTTTTTTAAGGAAATGAAACGCCAGCAGCTCACACCCACACCTTAACGCCCTCCCCCCCCCCCCAAAAAAAGAAAATACAGAAAAACCGAAAAAAAAAACAATCAAGATGTGCTACCTCTTCGGGAACATCCCCCCCCCCCCCCACCCATATACCTGCAATCGCTGTTAAGCAGATTTCTCCATCACCTCTTCAGATAAAAGAAAACAGTTGGGGTTCATACCTATAATATGTTCCCCAATACCTATGTTCCCCATTACCGATGTTCCCCGAAATCCTTACTCTAACCCAAACCATAACCCTAACCCAGCCCCTAACCCTAACCCAACCCTATCCCTAATCCTAAGGATTTCGGGGAACATCGGTGTTGGGGAACATAGGTATTGGGCAACATCGGGTAGACCCCAAAGATTTGATTGACTGCATGATGCTGAAAACACAAGCCGAGTGATGGGTATTGCAATTTAACGTGAAAACTGAAAAGACCCGCGCATATGGAAACAACTGAGTATGGAACGTTTATGGTTAAAGTGGATTATTCTAATGCTGACGTACGTACTGACTTTTCCTATGCTCAACAAATTTTGGACACAAAAATGACAAATTCTTGCATGCTGAGTTTACCCATTAAACCTAGATACAGCGCTTGTGCAAACAACACGTGTGCGCCGTGCGAGCGCACCTTTCATAGGAAGTGTAACAAGGGGCGATATCTGCCCCTACCCCCGGCCTTTTTAGGGTAATGGGGCTCAAATAGATCGGTCGGAACTGAGAACCACAAAAAGAAAAAGGAGTGCCCAAAAAGTAAGTCAGGTTCCTGTCACAGTGGATTCACATTCGACTTTTGTCGATATATTTTTCAGACGAAAATATTTGTTTTTCATAAGAAACACTGAAAATGAGCGGGAAAAAAGTGTACAAACAAGTTTGTAGATCATAACAAAAACATGTACACCGTGTTTTCAAATTGCTGTGAGTAATCATGGATTATATCAAGCATATTTAAGTGTTTCAAATAGTAAAATTAACAATTGAAATAATTAAAAACTAACAACTAAAATTGATGCTGAGATCAGACCGTTCCTTTAGACAGATCGAGTATGGACAAAAGAAGTGATATCCAAAATATCAAAAAGAGATGAAAGTGAATTATGGGGACGTCCCCTAGTCCGACGGCCCATTGGTCTCAGGCTATGCGTCCCATTGGTCAATACGTCCCATTGGGGCCGCCGACGTCCCATTGGTCCGACGGTTAGGGTTTGTGTTAGGTTTAGGGTTAGGGTTAGGGTCAGTCAACCTGAACCAGTCGACGTCGGACCAATGGGACGTCGGACCAATGGGACGTCGGATTATAGAGACGTAACCATTATTATTGGTTTATTAACATTTCATGTGTCGTGGCCAAAATATTCATTACTGGACCAAGCCCAGTCTAATGTGGCTTTCGCGAACCCGGGATTCCCGGGTTCGTATTCATGAGCCCCCTACTAAGATAATGGCTATTTAATCAGTTGACGACCATAAATATGTTCGCACATACTAATAAAACAGGTGGGAGTGCAGTGGTTTGTCCTTGATAAACAGTCAGGCTATCCCCAATGTATGTGTGTCTGTTGTCTAGAGCCAGCCTGCCTCCCATCAGAATTTGAGTGACGAGTGATGAGCCAGTTAAGTGCTGGAAAGCTACCTACAGCTAAGAAAGCCACATTAGACTGGGCTTGGTCCAGTAATGACCTAAATTAAAATGTGGAATTTGAGCTGTCAACTTGAAGCGGTTTCAATCCTCTGGATCGACTCGGGCTGGTAAACCATGTATAAGATGGCGACCGTAGACTACTATGCAAGTTTCTGAGAAACAGGAAGCAGCAAGTTATAGTTAGAAGGGAATCCTCGGAATGGGCAGATGTCATTAAGTGGAGTTCCACAAGGGTCAGTGCTTGGACCAACTCTATTTGTTCTATATATCAACGACCTCCCAGATATTGTCTCATCGACGGCTAAACTGTTTGCAGATGACACCAAGCTATACAATATTGTTGGAAAGGATGGCTCAGATGGCAGTCAGAAGATTCAAGAAGATCTGCAAACCCTTGAATCATGGTCTCAAACATGGCTACTTCGTTTCAATGCTGCGAAATGCAAGTGCATGCATATGGGCAAGGAAAACCCGAGGGTTGAGTACACCTTGGAGAAACCATTCAAGCAGTTGAGGAAGAGAAGGACCTTGGTGTGCACCTCACAAGTGACTGCAAACCCCGCTTGCAATGCATGCACCAAAGCAGCAGTACAGTGATGCAAAGTCTAAGAGTTATCAAAAGGACATTCAAGCACATTGACAAACTTGAAAGCTTTGGGATATTGTATAAAGCCTACATCAGACCACATCTTGAGTACAGCGTTCAGTCATGGAGCCCCTACCTAAAGAGAGACATCATGGTTCTAGAGAAAGTTCAGAGGAGGGCGACAAAGCTAATTCCAGAATTGAGAAGAAAACCGTACAGCGAAAGGATGGAACAGTTATAGCCTACACCTATTCACACTTGAAGTGCGGAGAGTAAGGGGTGACATTATTGAGACATATAAGATCCTGAATAGCTTCGACGATATTGATCCAGAAAAGTTCTTCTCCAAGTCAAGTACGAGTACCGAGGTCACAGGTTGAAGTTGTTTAAGAAGAGAATGCATAGAGGTCTCCAATTGAGGAAACACTTCTTCTCCCAACGGGTAATAAACAACTGGAACAACCTCCCAGCCTACGTCGTAAATGCCATGAATGTCAACCAGTTCAAGAATAGATTTGACAGTTACTTGAAAGAATCTGGATATGGGGTCTAAAAAGGCTGAAGCCTATAATTGATAATCCCATCACATCTTAAGTGTAAGTGTTACAACCAATGGATAAATCACCAACTGATAATGTCACACAAATTAACCGATATATCACATCACTGTAACAAAAATCGACTGACTGTCACGGTAGTACATTTCTAATTGGTAATGTATCACGAGAGGGCGGATAAAGTAATTAAAAACAGAACGGATAACTGCAACAACCGATCATGTATAGATTAAAAAAATCAACCGATAAGGCCCCCCAAAAAAAGTCTCCGGTTTCTGGTATGCGCGCGCGTCGCCGTAGCCATGCGCGTCGGCAAAATGAAAAAGCTTTTTTTTTTCAATGAAAGCTGATGTCTCAAAACCGCCAAACTCACTGGTTTGACCGGAATCCTGCTGCTGCACAATTTTAACGTGTTTTTAGATGGGGTTATGATCGAGAATAAGCTTTATGTGGCCTCACCGGTCTCCCATAATATTTGCACTAAGTTTAGTCGAGCACCATTTGCAGTCATCAGCCGACATTTTAAGCAAAAGAAACAGGTAAAAAAAAAAAAAAAAGCCGCGTCGCCGCACCACTTTTTGGGGCAAGCTCCATACCAGAAACCGGAGACTTTTTTTGGCCTAATGCACTGCAGTATGGGGAAACGGTGCAGATATTAATGTTGAAAGTGGCTTTATTTACATCACATTCCAATGAGCAACGACGTTGCTGCTCAAAATGGAACAAGCTTGGCTAGAAATTAATGAATGATTTTAGTGATAGTGGTTGATGTAATGTTCATGACAATTCTGTTGATATTTACTCCATCATACAACGATACAATTCCAACCACGATTATGATTGTTACCAGCTGAAAAGTTTTTAAAGTGACAATGTGCAAATTTCTTGGTCAAGTGGTGGCGCTGTTGAAAGTTACTGGTTACTTTTTTGTAAACAACCACACTCCAGCAGAGTCCAGCTAGCTCGCGTGTGGTGCAGGTGGTATGCGGCTGGAGTCCACGAAACTTGTGTTCGTCAAATTCCTTCATGGTAAAATCGAAATTAGTTTTTTCCTTTGAGGTGTTCATCTATGCATTCTCGTAGATGTTCACGATGTCCAAGATGTTCACTTTAACTTAAAAAGTGTAACTTTTGTCGATCACTAAGTATGATGTACACGTGACGCGACGAGCATGCATGATCGCTGCATGGGCATAATGACTGGCTCTGTCGTGTAGGCCCTAGTAGTACTAGCCCCATTCTGTGTATGGGCACGCACTGCAGAGAATGGGGCAAAGTGCCGTAGCTACTGGTCCAAGAAATCGACGCCATGTGTTGTCGTCTCGGCCTGTGACCTTTCAGATTTATGTCAGACTGAAGTTGCAAAATGCGGGGTTCCCAAAGCATCACTACTTTGTGTGAGATTCCCAAAACTGAAGGTTTGAGGTCTATAGGTTTGTGTCGTGAATGGCAGATTCAGGCTTGTCAAAGGCGACTGTCTTGTATTGTTGACTCAGCTGGGCTAGCAGGGGGAGGGGGTGGGGCTTAGAAAGAATGTTGCATCTAGATGCCACTGTTTTCATCAGTGAAGGTCGGTCACTGCAAAATGTTGAAAAGACATGAATCTGGGATCAGGACTGAGAAACAGTTTCAAGTTTGTTGGGAAATACTTTAAGATAGATCTGTAAAGGTGGCGTCACAATGAGCTCCATATAAAAATGTGGCCAATTTACTGGAGTACCTCCGTAAATAAAGGCCACACTTGGAACATGTACCCATCTCCCCGTAAATGTTAACTTTGTCGAGTTTTCTTTTCACATTCAGACTTTATTTGTGCATGTAGTTTTGTAGGCCCTAGTTTATTTACGCTTTAGAAGCACAGTCACCCACTTTAAGGCAATAGAAAATCCCCACCCCTTTTCAGACATCTATATTTCATGTAATTTCCAGGTTCGTATGCACACGTTTGCGTATCTAAATTCCAACACGAAAAAGTAGATGTCTGAAAAAGGGGGACTACATGTAATTTTCTATTGCTCTAGGGTGAGTAGGCCTATGCTTCTAAAGCGTAAATAAACTACAAATAAAGTCTTAATGTGAAAATCCAAATTTGACCAAGTTCTACATTTTTGGGAACATGTTCCAAGTATGGCCATTATTTACGGAGGTAGTCCAGTAAATTAGCCACATTTATGGGGCTACGTTAGTCCAAAAATTTGGGACTCTCAATACTGTGTATAGAGTCCAAAAACTTAAGGCATTTAAAACATGCAATACAAGAAAATAGACTGGCACCTGAAACAACCAGTCCATGATCCAACAACCCTTCGGTACTGCATCAATCAACTGTGCCAAAAGAAACATGTGGCATGAACTGGGAACTAGTCTCTATTTACTACACATTTCTCCATAGTCAGCCACCAGACTAATGACACTGAACGAAGAGGTCAATCTTTTCAAACAGTTGGACCATGGTTGGACATGTACCAGTCTACTCTTTAGTTAATTTTGAAATCACTTGTCTTCCATCTCATGTGCAAAGTATTGAAAAAAATGTCTCCTTTAAAAATTGAATTGAGTCTGCAAACCTGGTTGGTGAAATACTGAGGACCTTTTCTTTGCCCAATGAAAATTTTGGAGAAATTTGGTGGCAAAAGAGTGAGTAAAGGTGGCCTGATTTAGTTTTGCACCTTTCAGAGCACTCCAGGTCTCAGTCTGGGGCTACGTCACAATAACATTAACAATACGACATTCCACAGTCCATAGCGTAAAAACACTTGAATATCCTCAACTTGTTATTTTTCATGGAAAGTACTTACTTATGAAGTTTTCTGTAAATATGTGCGAGCATCTAGGATCTGGCATTGCCAAGAATTTGAGGGGGAAAAAACCGATCTCAACACAACTTTTGATTTTCTGAGGTTAAACACGGTACGCTGGTACTTGGTCATGTACGCAATAAATTTTAGGAGCCCTCCAGATACCCGTGTAATCGCGTGCAGATATTTTTTGAGTGTTTTTACACGACTGTGAAACGTGGCGTTGTTATTGATGCCACGTTTATGGGTCTAACTTTGGGAATGTTCTTGACTCTTTATAGATTTGTACACAACGCTGTAGTGGCGTCTGGATACTACATTCTTTCAGGGGCTCAAATGTTTTAATACTAAAACAGGTTAAGTCAGTACTGTTAGCTACTGTAGGTTGGGGGTGGAGGAGGAAGCTATAAATTATGTTTTGCAGCTTGTAACTTTTTGGGCACGATTCTGAGACGGAATGTTGAAGTATGTACCAGTATGTAATGAAATTTCACCAAATGTGAATCTTGTATTGTAACTTTGTATTGTAATTTCATGGACCTGCTGGTACTAGTTCATGTACCATCCAAGGTGGCAAACTCAAAAGTTTTTATCAATGACCCGCACTTGCATTGTATCATAATTCCAAAATAACCACATCAACGATATAGTCCTACCTCTCTAAGATTGTTCACAAGGGTTTCAGAATTTATGATCAGTTGGCTTGAAATTGATAGCTTATCTAATCTAGTGTGGAGAACTTGAGGTTATCAATTTGTTACATTTCTGCTACATGTACCTCATGCTGAAAGGTTGCATTGTTTTGCATAACAAAAAAATGCCTTCTGGAAGAGCTTTAAACCCTAAATTTTGATTTTCAAACCTTTAAAAAAGATCTGTATTGATAAAGAGGGGCATTGTGAAGCCTGCATAGGGTTTAAGGTATAAAAGGGTACCTGCTTTCAAAAATATATTACTCATTACGAAAGGCTATCATTTTATTTTGACTTTCGCTGATAGTTTTGCCACCTCAGATGGTACTGACATTTGGTCTGGACCGTGGACTATTTATTTGATTTAAACTCGGACTTTGTCATTTAAATTGCAGCTTTGAAGCCAGTGTTTACAGGTCTCATTTCTGTTAGGACACCAGGCTTGAAGGCTAGATGCTGCCCCCGCTCTATGATGAGATATGACACGCAACACCCCTCAGTTTGTATTGATTCCTAGCCATGCACTCTCCAAGCCAGTCTCCAGGACCTACTCCACCGGCAGAACCTTCATCCACACTGCAGTCCGTGTCTGGAACAGTCTCCTAGATGGTGAAGTGGGAGAGATCAAAGACAGTGGTGCTCCGTTCTTCAGCTGTAGGGTGCATCAACATCTCCTGTCAACACATTGATGTGAGGCAAGCTCATTGTTACCCTTCTAAGCCGCTGTGAACTAATATTGTGCATCGGGTCCGGTTGACCAGGCCAAACCGACCCGAAACATTGTAGAGATAAACAGAATCTGAACCGAAACTGATCTGAACTCCTCTAAACCGACGCGACCCGACCTGACAAAAATTCAAGCAAAAACTGACCTGAATTGACCCAAACTGAACCATCCCTGAAAACCCCCCCAAATATCTGGCTTGGGCAACGTGTCCACTGTTCAGATAAGGAGAACACACAAGAAAGTGTGGATTCGTAATTTAAGAATTCACGAGGTGCGAAGCGCCGAGTGAATTTGTAAATTAAGAATCTACACTTTCGAGTGTATTCTTCGACTTAAACCATTGCGTCAAAAGAAGTATTGGCATTAACAGTAAGTGGGGATGAAAAGACTTGGGAAAAATGTTGCAACCTGACGCCACTTCCGCGATTGTGTACAAAGTCTATGGAGAGTCAAGAAAAGGTATTTCCTAACAAATTGGAAATATTTCTCAGTCCCTGATTCATGTCTTATCATCATTTTTGCAATGAATGACCTTCATTGAGATGACACATGAGGAAAAAAGTGGCGTCAGGTTGCAACATTTTTCCCGGCTCCTTCCGTCGACATGTGGATAGTTCAGACGATGATTTCTTTCTGACTCGAAGTAGGTTTTGCAGTGATGGCGGAGAATCTGACAGTGAAGATGCATTTGTAATTTCGGAAGGAACGTTTTCACGCATATGGTCCTATTAATGCTCATTATGGAGAACAATTGTCAGACGTGTTCAAAGTGTGGATTCGTAATTCCGAATCCACACTTTACTGAAGATTCTGCATTCCGAATCCACACTTTTTGACCAGCGTAACAGATTTGTAGTTCCGAATCCACACTTTTAACAATAGTATATGTTATAGACTACATGAAAAACTATAAATGTACATGAAACACGCTTACATGTAAGTTATGTGTGTTTTCCTTTGGTCCATGAACTTTAAGCTTCCAAATGCAAGCATGGCAAGGGACATTCCTGTTTAGGACTTGTGATGTTGCATCTTGGCCTATGTTTGCATGTTGTTCCTTCAATGCACGGCAGCTGATATCAGCTCACATTCAGTCCTCTACCCTCACAGGTATACCCATTCATACTGGGTGGACAGAGACAATTGTAGTTTAGTGTCTTGCCCATGGGCAGAAGCACCATTTTCCTGTTTAAAGGGAATATACAACATTTGCAAACATCGAAAAATAAAATTACCAAATTTTTACGAAATACCTTAATAGGATGTTGGTAAATGACAGTCTAAAGCATCCTGTAAAATTATGGCACCTGGTATACTGTCATTTTCAAGAAAAGTGGTATTTTTGTATCAATTTCCAACGCTGATCGGCCGATCAGCGTTGGAAACAACTGGCTTTTTTTCAAATACTGGCCCCAATTGACCATTGTACTTGTTTGCAATCGATTACAAATCTATGAACGGGTACGAGCCAGCTAGACTGGTTCCCTGACCTTACAATTCCCCAATGTATGTAAACTGCTCTGTTTCTTCTTATATGGAGTCAGGGAACCAGACTACAGGAAAATGATCGTTTTTCTTGGTTTTTATAGCATTTTCGAACCCAAAACCTCCAAAAAGTCAGTGTAACTATATTTGCTTTATATTTCCAACCCCCCAATTCCATCCATTTCTGAAAATTACAGCAAAAGCAAATGATGTATATTCCCTTTAAGTAATTCTGTTCTTTACCTGTGTTAATTTTTTATGATGTTTAATTTGTTTGTTTGTTATCCCCTTCTTTTTTCAACATGTATTTCAGTTGCTGCATGCAAGTCCCTACATCTATCCAGTTCCTGTTCTGATGAAGCAGCTTTCCCAGCCCATAACTCTGTTCAGGTTTGGTGCATGTAACTCAGCCCTATCCCCTGTTTCCTTGCTTCAAGGCAGGTAAGTCTTGTTTGGAACTTGTAGTAGATGGTGATCTTTCAACTGAAAATTTACAAGCTTGCCCACAGTCATAGGAAAATAACACATCATTATTCGGTAAGACTTAGTTCTCCTAGTTCTCTTAGTTCATTCAACCCCCTCCCCCTCAAAAAAAAAAGTGTTTGTCATAAAATTGTAATACTTTTGCGAATAGTTGAGCATGCATACAGGTATGTTACCATTATTCAAGCCCTTGATTTTTTGATGAGGCAACTTTATTGCAGTTTATTCTGAAACTACATTGTGTATTGTATGCAAATTAGCAAAGTACATGTACATGCATAGCTTCTTCGAGATGGGAACTGTGACTGAGTCTGCAGCACTTCTTGAATTAAGCTAACCTTAACCCTGCTGAATCCAACAGGATCCAACTATACCCGATGGAGCCTGTTGGATTGAGCAGTAAACCCCTTACGTACATTCCCCATGCAAAATGTTGGATTCAGCAGGCAACTGAACCGCATTATAACGCCATGGTGGACTCCGTTGGATTCAGCAGACAACTGAAAATGAGGCACAGTGGATTGAGCAGGAAAGTCCGGTTAGACTCTGTTGGATTTAGCAGGATACCGGTAGTCCTGAGGAACTACTAGGGGGTTAGGGTTCGGAAGTTGATTACATGTTTCTGCATGGTCAATCTTGACTGGTTGTACCCCTGATAGTACTACATGTAGACATGTATTTCACACTATGAACTGACTTAGGATTCGCCCCTTTGTTCTGTGATTTACTTTGGGCATGCCTTTGATAATTAAAAATTCAAAATAAGATTATGTCACTCATGTTATCATTTGAAATTTCTACAATGCTTACCAGTCCCGTAAAAGTTAGTGGGGGAATGTCTTGATACAGCTGTTGGGGCTACTTGGTTGGAGCATCAGTTACTGGCTCATTATGATGTTGGGGTTGTTCAGTTGAACCATCGGCTACTGACTGGTTGGGCTGACCGTCACATCCAAGAACCCTAAGCATAATGAAAAGTTTTGAACATTTGCTCATCGCAACACTCAGTATGTGTGCGCGTGCGTCGTTGAGAGACCAAAACAGGCATATCTTAAAAAATAGGCAACTTACAAATCTGTGGTGATCAGAACATGAAAGAAGACATCTTCAGCTTTCTATAGGGATGAAATTTGTCATTGACAGTGCTCGGCCAATAACGACCATTTTAGTTTGAAAAAACACATCCATGCTTTGTGCTCCTATTCAGTAGTGCACATCCACGAAGTGTAAACTAGTTTCTTAGCACCCATGTTCAGGCGTTTTTTACTACAGCGTCAAAACGAGTTCAACAAGCTTGGGCTGACGACATTCATAAAGTTGATCAATTTCTTTAAACGCTGATCCTAATATAAGAAACATGCTAATTGGACAATAAATCCCGACGACCATTTTGGCTTGTAAAAAATATAGCCCGTCAGTGTTTTGATTAGTTATTATGTACATTGTATATAAATGCGCGTCATTGTATATAGGCCTAAATGTGTGTAACGTGTGTTCTGTAGTGTGTGTATGCAGCGCCCCACGTACTTGAGCTTATGTTCGTTTGCCTATATCAACTTTTCATTATGAAAATACCCTGTACTTCTAGCAATTTTTTTTCCCGCTGTTGTTACTTTACTGAAAGCCCCAATACTTTCGTCGGAGTCGTTTTCAGCCGCATGTGTCTTTGGTGAAGGGAGCTTCTTTGCTCTTGAGGTGCTTCCACTTCTGTTATAACCCTTACGGGAGGCTGTTGGGAATCTTGTGCCATCCAGTCAGAATTCAGAATTCATGGATGGACAAGGGGCTGGGCGCATTGATCGCGTGCATTTACCTCGCTTATGGAATTCAATATGCAGCGATTGACAACACCGTTCAACATGTGGGCTGCCATTTAACTAACTTGAAATTGTGTGTCTTCTCTGCGACAGCGATGGGCAGGAACTGAGGAACATTCCTTTTCCCAGTGTGTGTTAAGTTGGTGCAACTCCTGACCCAAGGATCTCAAGACTTTAAAATGTGCCGCTTTTTTTCTTTGAAACTTGCTGTTTGTGTTATGATTGGTTGATCTGTCACATGATTGAAACTTTTGTGAGACCGTCTTATAAGATTGAGCCGATTCCCACTCTTTCAAAGCCTTTGAGCCTGTTGCACTCTTTTCTGAACTGCCTTCAAGTTCTGATTGGCTGAACCCTAGAATGTGCATGCTTGGTTAATCTTTGTGATCATATGCCTACCGTTTACTTAAAGTCTTATGAACGACTTTTATTTGTGGTCAACCTTAAGTTTTCAACAAATAAATCACTTAGAAAATAATGCGACAGTTTAGTGAATTTTCTCTTACTTCTGCATCGTTTGTTTCTTTTTTCCCTTCAAGGTGACATGAGGTGGCATGATTTTTCAGAAAAACTGATTCTAGCATGTTCAGAAAAACAGAAACCTTTTCCATTCTGTAATGTGTTATTAAGTTGGCGGGTTTGTGTTCACCTTTAATATGTAACCATTATTTATGTTGGCCTACATGTATAAGATTTTCCCTGTTGAACTAACCTTGATCAAATTTGCTCAAATGTCAACTTCACCTATTGTATGTCAGCTGGGTCAACGTTTTTGCCCGTCGTGGCGGCAAAAACGGAAGGACCATGTAACAAACTGCCCACCCATCTTATATGGCTGATCCTTAAGACGGTTCAAGTTGGGTGTGAAGGTCATCCCCAATTTCACACCCTGGAAGACTCCCCCTGTAATCTTGACGTACTTCCAAGTCCTTCTATTTAAGATAGGATCTGACCCATTAATTAGTGCATTCGTTGTAAGCATCCAGAAGAGAGCTGACACTTAACCATAGCAAGAAGTCTAAGGAGTGATAGCCATACTTTGATATCCAGCAAACTTGAAGTAATCATGGACTTGTACAAAAGATTCTGTCGCTTTTTCCAAAATTACTGGCATGTTCAAAATCTCTTACATGTCTTAAGAGTAAACGTGTACTCAATGTAGCGCAACTAGAATTGAAGAAAATGTCTTGACCCGTGCAAGATTGATGTTGGAGGCTGTGTGTTATTCTGCTTGTGGTTGCTTTAATCTCTGTTGTCGGACATACATGCACTCTCCCTGGCAAAGCGGGCAGTTTTTGTAGGCTTGCTGTAATCTGGTCCCTGGTAGATGGCAAACTTGGCTACGATATGCTTTAGCTGTTCCTTAACATACTGTGTAGGCTCCACAGTGTTAAGAGGCAAGAAGAAAAGTCTAACCTTTTGGAACAAGATCATGTTGCACTATCACTTGCTTTACATACTCTCTCTGAGTCAGTTGTCTCTTGAGGGATCTGATACTACAAAATATTACTACAAAGGGCTGAAGGCTATGAGGGTTGCCGCTGTTAGTGGTAACATTTACTTTCTTTTAGGAAGAGGCCGGGTGAATCTATTGTGTAACCACCATCATCTCGGTTTAGCTTCCAAATGTTCCCTTGTTTAGAGACCTTAGTACATTTGTACCTGACGATGCAACATGCAATGCCAACATATTGTGGCTGAACTGTGGCTGAATTGTGGCTGATCCGGTCTTCACTGCGTGATAATGACCGGGTGTGGGGGTGACCGCTGTTAATGGACCTCGACTTCATCTCGGTCCATTAACAGTGGTTACCCCCACACCCGGTCATTATCACGCAGTGAAGACCGGCTCCTCACACTGTTATTCCCTTATGAATGTTATTGAAAATTGTTTCAGGGTAAAAATACCAAAAAATTTGTTCATTACTTCTTTAAGGCGGAATTTCTGTTTTTGATATTGCCAAAAAAATGCATGATTTAGAGTTAAAAAAAAGCAAGCATTCAAGGTCTTGAAATGAACGTTTTCCCCAACTTTCAGTTTTACATGACCCAAAACAGTGCTTTAAAAACAAAAATTAGGAAACTATGGCTTTGACATCTCTGGCATAGGGCACACTGTATCTCTCGTGTCGACGCTACAGAACTCTCGGATTTTCTCGTAGAGATACCACTGCCGCTTGGCATCCAAGCCTGGGGGGGATTTGGGGCTCTGGTAATTCCGCCGGTGGCAATCTGGCAGCTGACTTCAACAGCTGATAGGGTGTTTCCGGATCTGTCAAGGTCTTGCGTGCATATACAACTCCCGGTTCATCTGAAGAAACTCTGCAATAAAAAATGAAGTTTCAATAAGTTAAATTATTGGCTCATCGGATGGAAATGTGTTATACAAAATGGATCTTTAATCAGTCTTATTCCATTCTAACACAACGGTCAAACTGGGATTGCATTTCTGCATTTATTATTACAAACAAATGTACTCACCGGAAGTGTTGATGACTTTTGATTCCAACGAGGGGCTTGAAGAAAGGCAACAGGAATTCCTGCCAGTCATACTGGCTGACATTGATGTTGCCTGCCTCGTCACCTACCAGCTGGGGGATGTTGATCCCAGACGGGGTACTCTGTCACCACACCAACCATCTCCGCCAAGCTGGATACCGGGGTCTTCCTGTACCTCTGTTTAAGCAAACCAAAACACCAATCTGGTGCCAATTTGGTATGCCCAACCACCATGAAATGGAGCTCTACAGATGAGTGCAGCCCATGCATACACCTCCACATGATGTACCACATCATCATACGGTTTTTATTCTGACCGCTGCAGTTATCACAGTGGAGATGAACCACGGTCTCACCAAGACCATAACTGGCAAAAAAATGATGAATAGGGCCTATAGCTGATAACAGCACTGCTCCCCTTGGAAATGGACACTGTCTCGTCCACTAGGTAGTTCACCTGCTTAGTACATGTAGTACCCTCACAGTGAACTCCAAAGATACCACACTTCCTCCCGGTCAAGAAGTAAACTGGCCCTGGCTGAAGTGGATCGGAAGGATAGTGGACTTGCTGGGCGAAATCAAAGGAGTAGTGCATCTCCATGTTGCGACTACAAGGAGCATTTCTGCCCAGACCTCTGATGCCCTGCTGTTCTGCTGAGGCCTTCGCTGTTCCTGACTGCTGCCTGTACAGGTCCCGCTCCATGGCTACCTTCTCCAGATGGTTTTGCTGTGCTCTGCAACGGTCAGACTTCTCCGCATCAGACAGATTCGCAGATTTGTATAGCAGACTATTGTTGTGCTGGCAAACCCAGCAAACATCTGACATTGGTTTGCAGCAGATGATGAAAGGGCTGGTCACGTTCCACAGCTTTCGAAAGGTTGACTTGCCGATTGATCTGAAATCTACGAACGAGAAACCAGAAAATGGATTAAATGTTATTAATTTTATTTCACATACATGAAGATATTATTAAAGCATGGTTCTAGGTATCCGTTGTAAATTACTGCTGCCTTTCTATCAGTTACAACACATAAACCTTTTTTGATTTTGTTCAATTAAAAAAGCAAACCATCTCTAAGAACCATCTCAATTGGCACTAAGAAATTTGCTTACCAGATTCCTCCATAGCTGCCTTGTATTTCCTCCATACATGTACATTAGCTTTCGTCTCATGGGATGGAAGCAGCTTGATGTCCCGTGCATAGCCTGGGATGCGACCAGGTAGCAGGGTGGCGTTCACTTTGGCATAATTCTTTATGAATGTCTGTGCCCTCAGACGGCTATCGTATGTCAAGTGATTCCTGAAGACGGCGCCCTGATTCTTGTGTCTTCGTGCAATGCAGCCATTCTCTTTGTAATGTTTAGACAGTGCAGTCAACTTGTTGACGCTCATGCTAAAATAAAAAATAAAATGTGCCTGTGTTTTTAATACAATGCCCTGGCACCGAGCAATTTACAATCATTACTTTAGCCTAATGTACTGTAGTTGGAAACAAGTCAACTATGCCCTTGCCTAAATAGAAGTTCTTGCAAAAATAGCAACTAGCAACATTAGGAAAAATCAGAAAATGTGGATAACTTTTGTGTGAAGCATTAAAGCAAGTGATGAAAACGATGTTTGTCCCCACCTCAACACATAGAATGATTTAAGATACATACCTTGATAGCTGTTTTTACTGTTGAGGAAGCTGATACTTCTTTGAGAAAGTCGCTGTGTTTTGTGTTTAGATGTGTTACTGTCACTTTATCTCCAAGTTTGACTAGGCTCTTTGCCTTATCGTTCCATAAGGCAACATTTATTTGTCCACTGTCGTCCTTTACTTTGATGTTCCTGACGGACTGGGTGTCTCTTACACGTCGTGGTAGTTCGTCCTGCATAAATATAATGTGAGACATTAGAAATCATCATAATGAAGGTATTAATAGTTGATAGTACACATGTACATGTACATGACATCAATACAATATACATGTAATTGAAATAAGTTAGGCTTTGAAGGTATTCTGATATTGATGATTGCATTTCAGATGGAAATATCTAACTGGATGGATGGTACACAAAAATGGTACTACAGTAAACTCTGGTCTGTTGTGTAGTCTAAGAGCTATGTTTTGCTTCATTGGAAATATGTGGAGACATTGAGAAAAGAGACTTAGCTGTAGTTCTAATAGTCTGTTTGGGATCATGCACGTACATGTAGTGTAGGCGTACTTTGATGTACATGTATAATATAAAGAGACATTAGTCAAACAGTGTGAGACTTGTTATTTAAGTCCTCTGAAAAGCTTCTGTTCTTTGTCTTTGTCCCCATCTGCACTGTCTTCTGACATGTCTGAATCATTGATGACCGTTTTATCGATGCAGTTGATAATTTCTTTCAACCTACATGTACATGCAAGTTCATCTGCACCTAGAGGCTGTCCTCCTGATGAAACAAAAAACAATGACCCTTTAACCAATCCGCGATTAACCGATTTATAGTACTTGATCAGGGAGAGGAGAGCTTTCTTGACAGAAGAATCACCTTCGTGTTGCTTGCTACTTATCAAGTCATCCACCTCCTCTGCCGACTTGCATATTGCACCGCAAATTTTGAGGACATTATCAGTATTGTCAATAGTCAAGGCAACTAGCTTTCGTTCTTTTTCCTCTTGTACTTTCTTTCGTTCATCTACCTCCTTACGTCTTTGAATTTTAATTCCCTGTACCTTTTCCTGATACTGCTTTTGAATTTTTTTCCGATTTCTCGCAGCTTTGTAGATTATAGCGTCCTTTTCACTATCCGTACAGGTGTCCAGGAAGTCCAATGTTTTGTTTTGCGTCCACATGATGATCCCCTGCATTGCAAGCGCTGAAATGTTTGGACTTTTCCTTTTCAAGTAGTCCAGCCCTGCAAACACCCTTTCAGCAGGGACATTATCCTTAGGAAAAGACTTTGTCTCCTGATGAATACGATCTGGTTGGTGGAATTTTCCACCTGGCAGATGATCTTTCAGTTGTCTTACAATGCATACATACACATTGTGTAGAATAATTGATAGAGCTTGTCTTGTATTAAATTCTATCTCCTCTTCTACAGGCTCATACAGCGCTTGATGTACCTCGTCTCTTACAGGGACAAAATCCGCGAGCATGACAGCACTATTGTCCAACAGTGGCTGCGGATCCACCATCCATTGACTTATTGACGTATGAAGATCTGTGTAGTGGGCACTTGTTTGAATCGCAGAAATGTGTTCCGTGTCCAGCATCCGCATGATTGGTCGAGTTATGTGAGTGTTTATGATGCCCATGGCTCTGATACTGCCAATAATGATGGGGTCTTGCAGATCATACATTAGGCCTACTGACCGAGAGAGATGATTGTTTTGTCGGTGGATAGGTAGAGGTTGGTGTGTTCCTTTGATGTGGCCATGGTGGTGATGATAATATACCGCAGCCCCATTCTCAAATGGAATATTAAATCTATTTCTGCGATAAGCTTAACTCAGTTAACAGGCCTTAACAATTAAGTTTTAATGGGTTATCAAATCGGTAACCGCCAGCATTAATGGAAAGGAGAAAGTTCTTTGTAACTTTTAATGGTACATTTCTGTAGATTTTGCCACCTACAAGAAACAAGACAATAAAAGGCAAATATTGGTTGCTTATTAGAAGGAAACTGCTTCACGAATCAGGAATCCTCATCTATAGGTTGTTGTGAAATTACCTGATCTTTTCTTGCGAGGGTAGATTCCATTTTTGAGGTACATGGACAGGGTACCACTTCTTCAGGTTGGTTAGCTTGTCCTTTGAAATGCCCATCAGAAACAAAAAGGAGTCTCGACATATCCTCTTGTGTTCATAGTGGAACCATGTTATCCGAGTCAGCTTGCGCTCACGGTTGACTTTCTTGAGTCTCTGCGTGGCCTCAGGGGTGTTGATTCAGAGGTAATTCCCAGCAGAAAAAGATCCCTTTCAATGCTTGTCATTTCACGTACATTCAACCTGAAAATACCAAAAAAAGAAGAAGATATATTGAGCACAAACAATTATTTGGAAATGTAACACATGAACTCTAAACTCAGCAATGTATTACATGCACAATGTGATGTTGTATATTCAAAGCTAGGTATAATGTTGCACACTACAACGTGTGTTCGAAATTGAACAACTTTGTAGAGTCCAAAACACGGTGCATTTTATCATGGCAGGGGTTGTTTTGAATTGTTAACACAAAGATTACAAAGAAGTGGCATGTATTTTTGGAACAAAAACGTTGTCAGTGCACTATTAACAAAAAACTAAGGGCCCACACAATTTACGAGCAAACAAACCAAGGGGAGGGGGGGGGGCAGGGCCCTTGTTTGCTTTCTTAACTAAGATTGTTGACATTCGTGAAATCTTGGATTATTGTAAATGGCCCCATTCTTTATTAACATGTTTTTTAGGCCGACTGATGTTGCATGTGTTATGACAATCTGTGTTACCTGATGCTCTCTATCTCTTCTGTACTCACACCACAGATTGCGATTAACGATAAATATGCGTTGGCTAAAATGATTTACTTGAATTTAAAGAGTGAAAAGGTGGCGGTCGTATACTGCACTCCATCCCATCTTATATTTTTATCGGTTAGGCCTAACATTAAGGTTTAAGTGTCAAACTTTTACTTAATGTTTTGACATGTTTGACAGTTCTGTTTCTCACGTTAGTCTAACTGTAACGTTAGTGTCTATAGGCCCTAACGTAATAAATAACGTTAGTGTCAATCATAAACACAAGGTGAAGTTAACAGTATTTTTACATTTTTGGATTTTGGTCCTATGTTATGTGCAATTTTTTTACAAACAACATACTTTTCCCAACTTAAACAGCTCTGTGATTGATGGGTAGTTCATCTTCACTGCTTGAGTCAAGTTCATCCCTGTCACTATCGTTGGAATCAGACAAGTCTCGTTCACCAAGATCTTGGAAGTAGTCTTCAATAACTTTGAGCATACCAGAGTCTTTCAACCCACACGGTGCAGCATCATTAACAAGTCTTGCGATCCTGTCTTCGCAATCTCGACAATCAGACTTAGAATCCATGATTGAAAACCATCCAACAAGGATAAAAGACTACACCAAATTGTGAAATGTTCAAACCCGCAGAATAATTGCGAATTTCAGCCGATTTTGTGACTCAACACCCACAACACAACAAAGTCAGGTATGTGAAGAAAAAATTCAAAGTGAACCAATACCAATATTATTAGTACCACTGGAAAGAGCTTGAAAAATCCTACACAGTGATACCAAAATTATTGAGATATCTTAATTGATAAGGAAATAACAAGCATTTGAAGCTCATTAATTAGCGTCATTTATCTTAAAGGTAATTAAATAGAATTTTGTGACCGAAAACGCGACTTTTTTGAATAAAAACGCTTGAGGTTCCCTCGTTAATCAAGATATCTCAATGAAACTTGCAGGCAATGTGTATCTTGTTAGAGTAAAAAAAATGAGAGAATAATATGCTGATTTTAATTGTCTTCTTGGCCTAAAATGAAATTTATAGCATATTAATATAGGAGCTTTCATCAATTGTTTGGAGTCCTGTCTGGAGCGTCACTCTCGTCTCATTTTGTCCCTGGAAAGATACATAAAATTAGTAAAGAACATCTATAAGAGTGTATCTTACCTAAACAGCAAAACTTTCATCTCAGGTTCACTGTCTAGACCAACAGAAATGTCCTACCATCCATACAATTTCTTTGAAAAGTGTCTATCCAAGTCCACTAATTCCACACAGACGACAACATTTTCCACTCGCCCATGCCAGAATTGTCAGTCTCATTGATCAAGAACTAAAACTGTGGATGAAGTACCAACACATTCATGTTCACATCATTAAGTCACCAGCAATTAAGTCAGCTGCCAATGCAAAGGGGGACATATCATAATCAGTTGCATTGTCATATGTCTCACCCATAGACCAATAGGCCACAACGAATGTCAGTCGTTTCATACCCAAGTCGTTTCGTATACCCAGGTCGTTTCGTATACCCAGGTCGTTTCGTACCCAGGTCGTTTCGTACCCAGGTTGTTTCGTACCCAGGTCGTTTCGCACCCAGGATTCATTGCACACGTGACAAAGGGTTCCAAATCCTTTTCTATTGAACAACAATGCTACTGTCAATCACTCTTGGTGGTTCACAGGACTTGTGTTGACGGCGCTGCGGTTTGTTTTGTCTGATTTTTTTAACCTGCCACTGCATGTTTTTTGTTCTTCTTGGAGCTTGGATTTTATCTACCCTGCGGTTTGTGGGTTTTTTGAGCTTGGGTTATGATCGACGATGTTTGTCTTCTATATTGTAGCGTGATTTTCTTTGGTTGCTTTTTTTTCTTCGAAATTGTACTTTTTGTTATTAAATTTCATGTTGAATTTACGTAAACGTCTTTCGTCTTCTATAATTATCAAGTTTTGACTTTAATTAAAAACTATTGTAAGTCATAAAATGCAATTCAATTGGTTTTAAAATTTTCAATGTTTGAATCTACCCTGGTGTTAATGTTTTCACTCTTCTATAATTATCAAAATTTGATTTCAATTCAAAAAACTGTTGTGAGTAATAAAATGCAATTCACTAGTTTTGAAATTTTCAATGTTTATCAATGTGTTCAGTTTGGCATTGTTTTGGCAGTAATAAAAAAAAACAATTTTGCATTGTATAAAAAATTAGGCTCTTTTTCTAACCTGTGGAGAAAACGAAAAACATGTAATTTTTTATTGATCATTTATTTCCGTTTTTATTCTGCCTTTGATGCAAATCTTCAATCTCTTTTGTAGATATGTTGGTCCTGAAAAGGACCGGTTGTTTTGTTGTTGACCTACAGGGCTGGACCTGTCAGGTACTTGCAGGCTGCCAGGAGTCCCGATGTTGTGAGGCGACGGGCTTGGTAGTCGTCCCACAACTTGAAAATCTTCCCTTGAATCTGCCGGTACATCCGCTGCTGGTTCCTGCAGAGTCGAGCTTCTTTGACCAGCCTTAGCTGGACGTTTACGTAGCTGGATTCTGCGTACAGGAGCTTGATGACGTTGTAGAATTGGACGGTGTGACGTCCTGCCTGCCCAATAAGTCTCCGATGCCAGCCCTCCACGTCGTTGTTCGTGCGGATACTCCGCATGAACACTGACCAGTCACGTGGGCTCCATGTTGAGTTCTCCAGCCATGTGGTGCGAAGGTAGCTGCACAGCTTGACCATGGCCAGTTGATCAGTCACCAGGCTGCTGAGTTCTTCAAAAGCTGGCCCGATATGTTCATTAGGCAAGAACGGGAGTGACAACAGCTGGCCGATGAAATCCCGAACTCTGTCGTTGGACATGTAGGGTACTGTCAAACCGAGTGCCTGACACTTTCTCCAGACTGCCTGTGTCCAATGGAACAGGCGGCAATTCACGGAAGCATCCGGAAAGACAGCTCGGATGGCACCCCACAGTCCAACTTTGAAGTCCACCACCAGCTCTTGAAGATTTGCAGCACGGGACGGCAGCTTTCTCCGCAGGGCCTTGAGCACCTTCTTATAGTCTTTCTTTGTCCGCCGAGTAATCAAGACAAAGGCCAGCGGAACCTGCTTCATCCCACCGGTGTCTCCCTTGACGAAGGCGTGAACTGAGAACAGTTGGGTGAACGGACGTTTCACCAACTTGAAAGTTCCATCCAAGTACCAGGTCTTGGTGCCATCCAGCACATGGAGTTGATCTGGTTTAAAAAAACACCACATGGCGAGCACAACCAAGGTGAATGTCTTTCTGGAGGAAGTGTTCGGGGATGAAGCCTTGGTCAATTATAAAGTCAATGTCTCGTGGCTCGGGAGGGCGCTGGCTCTGGCGGTGACGGTTTGGAGCCCGGGACAGGTTGGTTGGATTAGGTCAACTTGCAGCGGGTGCGTCAGTGTGGTGATGACATCCTCGACAATGGCCCCTGCTGATTTGAAGATGTCAGCCTTGGCCTTGGTTATCACCAACGCCTTCACTTGAACTGCGACGTCTGCCCCGGGATGCGCTGGGTGCGTATGCTTGGTGTGAAGTCCAGCATGAAAAAGGTTGCCATCTTGGTGAACAGACACGGCACACCTGTGCAACTTGCCCCGGACACTACACAGCCATGTGACTTTGGAAGAAGTGGAACCGGCCTTCTTCCACTTCTTCGTGTAGGTGTAGCCGTGACTATCAACCAAGATGACTTTACCCAGTTTCGTGCCGGACTCCACCGTCTTGTAGGTAGTGATGTCCTCATCACCTAGGCCAGGGATTACAGCAGGTAGGGCAGCATCAGGGAGGGGGTTCTCGGCTACTTCAAGTGGTACAACAAAGTCAGTCTCGACGTTGAAACCACCTTCATCGGTAGGGACGTCTCCGTTCTCCTCGATGTCCATCGGGTCTTCCTCCTGTTCTTGGTCTTGACTTGTACAGGGTGAACAGATCCAAACTTCCAGCCTGGATGGATCGTCACGGATCTCCAGGTACTGCTGGTGACTAAAACCAGAGTTGCAGCCAACATGCTGCCATCCCTGGCAGCGCTCACACTGGAAAGCATGCTGGTTCGCACGAACAGACTTCTTACAGAAGAGGCAAGGATACTTGATAGGCATCTTGACCCAAAAAGTGCCCAAAATGTGACTTTAGAGAAATTTATAAGGCTTAAATTTTGACAACCGATAGAATATAAGATTAGCTACCGATTTATGAATGATTTTTTTTTTTCGACCATGCATGCATTTTTTCGTTGTACAAAATGTAAGTACCTTAACTCGAAAAGGCATTTGCCGACTTCCGCCTGGTTTTGGGATGGCGGGTCACATTTGACATCATTCGGTTCAAGTTCTAGCATGCGTGAAAAGGTGACTTGCCTTTCTTTTGTGACTACCCCAAAACAAAGATACTTTGTCAGAATAGGCCTCTTCCCATCAACACAATGACAACACTGGGCCAAAGGCGGGCATTAAGAGGAGGAAGTTGTAAGCGGACGCTGACCTTGAATGCTTTGCAATGCACCACCTGCAACAGCAGGGTGCCAGGGCATTTGTTTTCCCTTAGCAACAGCACTCTTCTTTTGATCCCAAAGAAGCCTCGCTGTGGTATTCTGTCCGAAAATGTCATTGGTGAGGGTCTCATCTAAGTTAGCAAATGCCTCCTCCATTCCCTTCTCCTGTAGAGGAGTATAAAGGTGAATAATTTCTGCTTCCATCATGGATGATATTTTGGTTTCCAGTGCAGCATTTCTTCGCAGCAAATTCCTTCTATCACTCTGGAGATCTACCACCTCTCCTGAAGCTGCTGCTTTGACAAGGTAATATTTGGGGCATTGGATGATGCTGATCCGCTGCGTTGTTGCTTCCCTATTAACTGGCTTGTAGCAGATGAGAGATCACCTTTGTGTACTTTACAGTAGTCACATCTTGTTCCACTTGATTGCACCAAAAAAAGACATTTCTTGTGCCGCACTTAACTGTCCCGTCCACAACGACATCATTGTTAGTGATCTTTGTTGGAACTTGACCTTCTGAGCCACACTTCGATGCCACCAGTTCAGGGAAGTCAGGATTTCCCAGACATGCATGCATCCCATCAAGCTTGCCGAACATGATGAAGGTGTCTTCGGGACTCAGGAACTCAGGGACATCCTTGCACAACGGGTGATCACTATTACAAGTGACGCCACAAATATTAAGCACCCACGAAAATTGGCCAGGATTGTGAAAAACACTATGGGATTGCCCATCTCATCAACTTTGACGATTCTTACTCTATTTTTCCCTTTCAAGACCATGAAGGAAAACTTCCCAGCCGAAGTGCGGTGATCATCTAAGGTCACAACGACTTCACCAGTGCACCTGTCACATGAACTAGTGACAGTGGTGATTTTTATGTTGCAAACAGCTTTTTTGCACTTAATGGCAAGCAAGTCGCTATAATGGACCGATCCGGCCTATCAATCAAACTTTGCGCGTTCACTCCATTTGACAAATCACAGCCATGATTGCGCAATCAAAAGTTGGACAAAAGTCGGACATGCATGTGCGTATATTTGGCACGCGCGGCAAAATTGTGCAGAATGGCATTGGAAAGGCTAGTACGCGAGTTATCCTCACAAACCTGTACATGTACGCAGTGGGCGTAGCTTAGTGGAAAGCTGGAATGGTCCATTGTATAGTACACGAGTCTTAAGTATACACTTCTTATAAACCATGTGTTCTATTGATTACACAATGCAAATATTATATGTAATGAGTGAACACTAGAAAATAACAGTCAAAAATACTTTACTTAAAGAGTTTGTGGAATGCTGAAAATCGTTTTGTCTTTTATATTTTTATATTGTAGGTATTGTAGACAAACTCCCATTCTTTTCTAATGTGCGTTTATATGTTTATAAAACTGAAATTCATCGAGTAATTTGTTGGTCGGCGAGCGCATAATTGAAATCAACAGTCCTCGGGCTCTTCGTAAAATCAGAAAAAGCGTGACGTAATAAACAGGACTCGTTTATACAACGACTGTTTACTGCTGCCCAACCCGCCCCGTCAGCATGTGTGACTCGCAGTCAAGCAGTGAAAAATCAACATTTTGTAAAAGACTCGCGGAGATTGATATTCCTTCCCATTGCTTAATTTTTGGATGAGTATATTGAACAAGGACACGGTGACCTCTGAGATGTTCTTCCGTATAAATTTGAGCCCCAACTGCCCGAAAAAGAGACCAGCGAAAACACGGATACTGCAACTGGCCAGCTGAAAACGCCAGGCAACGCGGCTCTGATGAGTGGTAGGTCTGCGACGTTTGCGTGAAAAAAAAACAGCTGCGTTTTATCCAAGGACTCAAAGTATTATGTTCATGATAACATTTTTAGATGAGCATCAAAAGTCCTACCGCAACTTTCTTCGTGATTTACAGACAATCTTAAACGTTATTCTGGTGAATATTCAGTCCAAAGAGATGGCAAATCATCAGGTTGTTTTCGAATTAAACGCGTACGGCACGCATAACGCATCACGGCAGTGGATGTGGTCGACCGTGTCCAGAACTAATGTTGTACGGTTAGCAGCGTCGCGGGCCCCGGTCAAGTTCCTTGCGTTGCCTGGTGCTTTTTATGTATACGTTCGCCACAAAAAATTAGTCCTCTTCTCTTTTCTTTCCTTGTGCATTTTAACCCTTGTTTTAACATCCTGAAACGATAATTACGAATTTACTTGAAAGTTGAATTTCGAAATTGTTAACTTTATTGTTTACCAAAAAAAAGCCGTAAAACAACACCAGGAGACCATGGGACTACCGCTTCACCTCGGCCTGTAAACGTGGCAACAAAAAAAGTACAATTCATAAATCATAGTCATGCTCCGTTCATAAAACAAAAATCTCTGGACTTACGACATGTTCGGGATCCCGGTTGAAAACAAAATTCACTGGTCCCGAAATTTAACGAGCACTATCATTATTTTTAGTACCTAATTAAGACTTTTTTCAAGAAATTCCAGTGGCAGAGAATTTGTCATTCGATCAAAAGAAGTTCTAGGGAAAATGGAGGCCTGTCACATTAATCAGCACTAACGTAAGGAAACTATACGCGGTCCTTTTTCTTCGCATTTACCTTCAATTTGTGTGTGACAACGCGTGCACGTATGCTGCGCAGATAATGGAGGGTCGAGGATACATTTGAACGGGTCTACGGTTCTTCAAGATTGGCAATGGACAAATGGTCCAAAATAGTCTTCCCTATAAATCATTAACAAATCATATCTCTATTATTCCATTTTCAACAAATCTCTTGAGAAAAAAAGGCTCTTGCCGTACAAAATGTACAGTGCATGATCAGCGCTCTATCCGTTAATTTGGCTGAATCGGATCTCGTGTTTTCGCACGGTACCCTTCAGACAAACTGCATGGCTACGGAGGATTCTTATTCCTCCATGCTGACACCCGGACGGGAAAGCTGGAAATTTATTGCAAACAAAATGTGGTGTGATTACCAGCGACTGACACAATTATAGGCATATAGGTTTGCCTTGGCCTAGTGCGTTCGCTACCCGTACACGTATCAGCAACGAATTATTTTGAAATTCCAACACCGTTTACCGGTGTCAAAATCTACGGTCCCAGCGGCCGGGCCAGCGGCAGTACACCCGTGAATTTCCAGCCAGCTTTACATAGCGCGTGTCACGGTGATGCGATGTGCATGTTGATGAAACGCAGACATTTCTTACTATGGTTGGCCGTTGGGGCAAACACAAAAGAATGATCCCCGATCTATAATAAAATTAGGTGTATCTATCAAAACACTAAATAATCAATAGAAAGTACCAAAAAGTCAATGGAGATATCTTCCTATTAAATTCTGAACTTGCCCATTAGAATTTCGGGGGTAAAAGCTGTTGCCAACTACGGTTGAACTTATGGAGCATGTGGCTGCCCATACAAAAGGTCGCTCAGTGTAATTGTAAACAAAGTCATGTCGTTGCGCGGAGTGATTTGCAAAAAGTTTCGCTGGAACTACATGAACTACGCTGCATCGGGAGTCCTGTTTATTACGTCACGATTTACTATGTTTTGTTTGCTGCCCCCAACGACGACTTTTACACAAATTGCACGTTCGGGTCGAAACAGGACCTGAAAAACAGCTCTCAAAAGTACCTTTTGTATTCATTTCATGACAGAAACAACAGTCGTTTTTATTTCATCACACCTTAGGCTACATATACCCGAAAAATGACGGAAATGTCTTCGA